GTTGCCTCCAGAAGTTGTGAATGCCTTAACACTGGAAGTCTTTAAGAAGAGATTGGATAACCATTTGTCTGAAACGGTATAGGGTTTCCTGCCTAGGCAGGGGGTTGGACTAGAAGACCTCCAAGGTCCCTTCCAACTCTGCTATTGTATTGCATGGTATTGTAATATGATTTATTGGGTTAGGGATTTTCTGTCTTCACTGTACATTGTATTGTGTTTGGGGGGCAGATGCACTGAGGGAGCTCAACCAATCTCATTGTACATATATTGTGCACTGACAAATAAATAAGAATGACTATTATTAATTAGAAGATAGGAGAGGGAAAGGGGACTTATTTAGGTTCTGCAGGAGTTGCTGCCAGACCAGAAAGATAACCAGACTATCAACAGATCACAAAGTGACTGGATATGTGGGAAACCCAGATGATCCACCTCTGAGTAGGTGTGAAGGAGCAGAAACTGTCTGCAGAGGACTTAGGAGGAATCTGAGAGAAGCCGCTGATAGAAGAACCAAAGCAGTGTTGCAAACTCCAAAGTAACCATGGACCAAAAACCCTCACACTGAAAAAATTCAGGTGGTTCAAATACTTGCAGGAGAGTTTTACAGAGATGGTGTCAGGGTTCCAAGTAACACCCCCAATGAAAGAAGATTCTTGAGTTTCCTCAAAGTTCCATTTTATTAGAGATGTCATATTGACACATCTGGGAAAATCCAAATCTGAAAGCTTCCAGGTTTTCCCCACCCAAAAGAAAGTTCAAGTCCCTGCCCAGCACCCACGTGTCCATCCCATGGCCCAATCAGGTGCCATCCAGAACAGCAGATGCCACCCAGTCATCTCATCACAGCTGCTGGGCCAGATGACCTTGACTTTCTGAGAAAGAATGTTATTATGGCTACATATCTCCCACACTCTGTATAATTCCCCCTCCCATTTTCCCACAGAAAATGTGGCAGACCTGAAGTCCAAAAGGTAAAAGATGGCTTCCTGGTCAGATGGATCTGGAGAAGATTGAGGGTGTTCTGTCCTCTTTTGGTCAGAGTAAGGCTCTTTTGCCATTCCATTCCAGCAACAAGTTTAGCAGAGAGGGAAATTTGCATCCCCAAGCTTGCCCTTAAAATAAGTTACTGCAAGAGGAAGGAGGGAGGATTTGGTACTTGGTTCTGCTTTGAGTTCGATTGCTGTTTGGCAGAAATTTCAATAACAGGCTAAGTAACATCCTCAATGCACTAATGATGTTACGTACCTAGTCTACTGAGGATGTTAGTCTGGTAATGAAATATCTGCAAGAAAATAAAGGTTATCAATCCAACCCTTATTCGCTTCTATTGGAAATTAGAACAATGAAGGACCTTGCTGAAAGGGCTGGATAGAGGGCATAATAGTTATACTTTTCCATAGGTTTTCGCCTTTCCACTCACTTACCGGTATATATATTAACAGAAATAAATTTTTTCCTTTTTTTTGCAATTTGCTGTAAATAAAAATAAGTACCACTTTGTTGGCTCTCCTGGCACTATGTATGTGGATCAGTTCCTGTCCTTATCCATGCACTGACAGGACCACATACAATAATAGCATATTATCAAATTATTTTGAGCTTATTGTTATTAAAAATGTGTAAAGAATATACTTTCAGGTGCAGATTTATTGGATTATAAATACTATCATATTTTATTCATTCATTTTTATTCATTCATCTGTTGCATTGGCTAATAGAGGGCAGGAGTTGTGGACCCTGGCATCTAGGAGCCAAGGTGGCGCAGTGGTTAAATGCAGCACTGCAGGCTACTTCAGCTGACTGCAGTTCTGCAGTTCGGCTGTTCAAATCTCACCAGGCTCAAGGTTGACTCAGCCTTCCATCCTTCCGAGGTGGGTAAAATGAGGACCCGGATTGTTGGGGGCGATATGCTGACTCTGTAAACCGCTTAGAGAGGGCTGAAAGCCCTATGAAGCGGTATATAAGTCTAACTGCTATTGCTATTGCTATTGCTATCTGGAGGACATCTGCTTGACAAAGACTGGTCTAGTTGATGGATAATTCTCCAAAGCAAATGAATGGTGAAGTATTTCTTCATAGCCAAAAAGGAAACGAAATTATAGGTGGGAAATCAGCCAGGGCAAAGGTAGACTGTCCATCAACTCTCCTGTTTTCAGAAGTTGCTGTC